GACTCTGCTGACTCCTCCATCAGCGTGTCCTGGTCCCCACGCGAGTACAGGTGGAACAGCAGCTCCGAGAAGATGAACTCCTTGGTCTGAGAGTGGGCAAAGAAGGAAGGAGGTTGGGACCTGATGCCTGTGCTGCACTGGCCTCCTGCCGGGCCCTGGTGGGACTGTGTGCTGGACTTGGAGCCCTGAGTATGGCTTTTCAGATGTGGCTTCTACACCACTTAGACTCAAAGATCTGCCTCCCCACAGCCCTTTTCTCACTCAGAAAGGGACATTGAGGTCCAGAGGAAAAGTCACGTGTCCAAGGTCACAGATCTGGGAGGGGACCCTGGACCTATCATGCCACCAGGACACCTGTCTACTCTCGTTGTTTCAAAATGTTTTTCGAGATAGGATCTTGCTCTGTCACTAGGCTGGAGTACAGTGGGCGAGATCACCGCTCATGGTCTGGAACATGCCCCCTCCGTGGACCTGGTCCCATAGGGCTGGTCGGCATCTCCCCCAGGCCAACATGGCCACCTGCATCTCCAGTGCCAAAGGAACCTCCTGTCCCCATGAGGCGGTGCACGCATGTTGTTGATCATGATGTGCATGGTGGTCTTGGGCATGACACCAACCATGAGGTCCCACACTGTCTTGTTGACAATGACCATGTAGGACTCCACCAGGTTCTGGGTAGTTTCCATTTACCGCTCCAGCTGTGGGTCCATGGAGTGCATGAAGCTGTCGGAGCCATTCTCCTCGCCCTTGCTGTCCTGTCATGGAGCACACAAGGGCATCAAGGTGGCCAGGCCATGCAGCCAGGCTCCAGGGATCCCTAGGATCTCAGCCCCTCCAATGGTACCTGGAACATTGAGGCACAGAGAGAAGCAACTGGCCTGAACACACACCCAGCTCTAGACGGTTTCACGCCTCTGCCTCTCGGGACCACAGACTCCTGTGATTCAAGTCTTGTCTTAGTTCTGACTCTAGTATCCAGAATTTGCCTCAAGTTACCAATCCAGAAATTGTAAAAGAATATCTCCAAGTTCCTTGCTTGAAGACCTGGCCAGAGCTTGTGCCAGGCTGCAGATGCCTGGCAGGAGGCAAGAAATGGGCACACTCACTTTCCCCTTGTCCTGGGAGGCCCACTCACCAACACTGCCACCCCTGCTGCCACCAGGGAACACGGCAAAGTAGACACACACACAGAGGAAAATGGGAAGTGTTGAGTGAACCTGGGACACTGCACCCCAGCTTTAATGTGTTGTTGAATTCAATTAGCTAATATTTTGTTGAGGATTTTTGCATCAATATTCATCAGTGATATTGGCCTGTAGTTTTCTTTTTTGGATGTATCTTTGGTTTTGGTATCAGGATAATACTAGCCTTGTAGAATGAGTTTGGAAGTCTTCCCTCCTCTATTTTTGGAATCGTTTGGGTAAGGTTGGTATTAGTCTACTTCAAATGTTTGCTATAATTCAGCAGTGAATCATCAGGTCCTAGGCTTTTCTTTGCTGGGAGACTTTTTATTACCACTTTGATCCCATTATTTTTTATTGGTATGTTCAGGTTTTGGATTTCATCCTGGTTCAATCTTGGTAGTCTGGATGTGTCTTGAAATTTATCTAGTTTTAGTAGGTTTTCCTATTTGTTTGCATATAGTTGCTGATAATAGCCACTAGTTTTTTGTTTGTTTGTTTTTTGTTTTTTTGAGTGGGGGGGAATGGAGTCTCACTCTGTTGCCAGGTTGGAGTGCAGTAGGGCGATCTCGGCTCACTGCAAGCTCTGTCTCCCAGGTACATGCCATTCTTTGCCTCGGCCTCCCAAGTAGCTGGGACTGCAGGCACCCACCACCACGCCCAGCTATTTTTCTGTTATTTTTAGTAGAGACGGGGTTTCACTGTGTTAGCCAGGATAGTCTCGATCTCTTGACCTTGTTATCTCTCTGCTTCAGCCTCCCAAAGTACTGTGATTACAGGCGTGAGCCTCCGCGCCCAGCCTGAGTTTTTGCGGTATCAGTTGTCATGTTTCCTTTTGTTTGTCGGTGTTGTTAATCTTTTCAAAAAAACAACTTTTAAAAAATTATTTTATTTTATTTTTACTTTTGGAGACAGAGTTTTGCTCTGTCACCCAGGCTGGAGTGCAGTGGCACAATTTCAGCTCACTGCAACCTCTGCCTCCCAGGTTCAAGTGATTCTCCTGCCTCAGCCTGCTGAGTAGCTGGGATTACAGGTGCGCACCACCACGCCTGGCTAATTTTTCTATTTTTAGTAGAGACGTGGTTTCACCATGTTGATCAGGCTGGTCTTGAACTCCTGACCTAATGAGGTGCCCACCTTGATCCCCAAAAGTGCTTGGATTACAGGCATGAGACACCATGCCCAGCCAACATTTTGTTTTTAAATTTTACTTATTTACTTTTTTTTTTTTCTTTAGAGAAAGGGTCTCATTCTGTTGCCCAGGGTGGAGTGCAGTGGTGCAATGACTCATTGTAACCTTGAACACCTAAACTCAAGAGATCCTCCCACCTCAGCTTCATGAGTATCTGGGACTACAAGCCTGCACCACCACACCTGGCTAATTTTTCTAGTTTTCGTAGAGACAGGGTTTTGCTATGTTGCCCAGGCTGGTCTTGAACTCCTGGCCTCAAGCAATCCTCCTGCTTTGGCCTCCCAAAGTACTGGGATTACAAGCATGAGCCACCATACCTGGCCTATATATACATTTTCTTTTCCAAGCTATATAAAGTATGCTGTATGCATCCTTATGGAATTTGTTTTTTTCACTTAATATTATATTGCTAAGATTCTTATTGTTGTTTATAGCTGGCGTTCATTCTTTTTGACTGCTTGTGACCTCACCAGAAGATAGAGATCCCGAGATCTCTTAAGAACTGCTGCTGGGAGTATACACTGGTATGACCACTTTGGAAAACAGTTTGGCTCCATCTCATAGGGTTGAATATTCACACTCCTCCTAGCCCAGCAATTCTACTCTAAATGCAACAGAAATTCTTGCCTATATAAAACACGGTATGTGGACAAGGAATGTTCCTTACAGCTCTGTTCAAAATAGCAAAAACCTATTGCCCATCAGCTGGAGAGCAGGTGACTAAATTGTGCTTTTTATTCCTTTTGATTTCCTGTAGTCTTATGATGCAAGTGGCTTTCCTATGGCTAGCTTGGGGAGGGGGATACTCTTGGCAATCTGTGGTGGCAGTCCTGCTTAGCCCTAGGGCAATCGGTGCTGCCCAAAACAAGAGTAAATAGAACAAGGTGCCCCATTGAGCCAATGCCTTGGGTCCCTGAAGGTATAGTCTATACCTGTAGGAAATATCCATCATACAAAACAGTCTCTTCAAATGCTTCTGGGCTGAGTCCAAAGGACACCGTCTCCCAAAACATTACAAAGTTTATTGGGGCTACCATTTATCAAGCATTTATCATGTACCTGATCATGTACTAGTGTACTAATTGCATGCATTATTTTATTATTTTATTTATGTACTTATTCATTTATTTGAGATAGGGTCTCTCTCTATTGCCTGGGCTGGAGTGCAGTGGCACAATCACGGCTCACTGCAGCCTCAAACTCCTGGGCTCAGGTGGTCTCACCTCAGCCTCTCGAGTAGCTGGGACTACAGGCCTAAGCCACCAAGTTCAGCTCATTTTTTAAAAAACATTTTCATAGAAATGAGGTCTGGCTTTGTTGCCCAGGCTTGTCTCGAACTCCTGGCTTCAAGTGATCCTCCTCCTGCAGCCTTATTATTGCATTTAATCTTCGCCATCACTCTATAAGAGTGCCTGGGGGTAGGTGCTCCACACAGTAGCAATATAGCAACCTCCACTCATAGGTGACAACAAGACTCAGTGTAGTCAAGCAACTTTTCAAAGGTCACACAGCTGGAGGGTAGCTGAGCCAGGATGAAGACTTAAGACTCTAAAGCTGGTGCGCCAGTAAATGAGAAAATCTCTGGGGGTTCAGGATAGCTTCCTCCCAAGAAATCTTTCTCCAAAGATTCTAAAAACAATGACAGATCCATCTTTCATAAAACTAACAAAACTAGTTCCCCTTCATTTTGAGGGGGAGGAGGATAAATGTTAGATAAGCTCTAGGGTATCCCATTTTAATCCTACATATTTGTAAGGCAACTGCCAGGACAGCACCACAAACCTAAAGAACCATGCACAGCTGTCTCTGTGGGAATGGCATGTCCATGGATGTAAAGATTTTCCAATGTGTGCTTACAGGCCAGTGGCATCATCCTCAGTCACAGGGTAAAGGGCAGCTAGGCCTGGTCTGCTAGGCACCACCGTGAGAATCTGCTGAGCTTTCCAACTAGTTTATCTGTTGTTTGCAATGAAAGATGCCCTGAAAAGAAGGTGTGTGGGTGGGAAGGGTTCTGATTTGAGGTCCCCTGATCTGGGCATGATCTCCTTCCCCAGTCTCAGGAATCAGGGACTCCATCTATATACACAGGATCAAGCTATGTCCCCCAACCCCCTCTTTCAACCAGGTGCCACCCTCTGCTTCTCTTCCATAGACAGCCTAGAGCTGCCAGCATTCCCTTAGGATCTGTGCCCTCGGGCCTGGCTTAATTTTTTCCTCTCCAAAGAGCCATCTGTAGGGCCAGAGGCTGACAAAGTCTAACTCATTACTGGATGCCAGTTCCTCTGCTTGGCTTTCAGTGATTCCTACCTTACCCTGGGGTTTTATGTTTCTTGGCTCAACAGTAACATTTCTCATTCCTCCACAAGTTGAATTGCTCACTCCAGCCAACTGAAGCATGCTCTTCCTGACACAGTTAGCTCTAGGCACATGGTTGGTGCCAAAAAAAAAAAAAAAGAAAAGAGCATTATGTCAATTTCATTGATCAACAAAAGCGATGACTCCACTGCCAAGTCAAGTTGATAGTGCCTGGGCCTCTGAGTTCAAGAGCCTTCTAGACAAAGAGCTCTGAGCTGAAACAAGAGCATGCACACATGTGCATCTCTCTGGGTCTGATGAGATAATTTGGATTCTTGGTTGTTATCCTTGATCGTTTTCCTGTCTCATTAATGCACGTGTAGCCAACACAATAAGAATCATAGCTAATAACGGCTAAAGCTGAGGACTTTCCTGGGCCAGGCAGTGGCTTTAAAAACTTTAAAGTTTTCACATAGACTCTCATTGAATAATTTCTGTTTTTCAGATCAAGAAACTGAGACTTACTATCACATTTGGGATTAAGTTAAAAAAAAAAAAAAAGAAACTGAGGCTTAAAGCTGCCAAGTATTTCACAGCCAGCAAGTGGCTAAGTTGGAACCTGAACCCAGGCAGTCTAGCCCAGGGATCCTGTGCCCTTACCCATTATCCAGTGTTGGCTACACAAAACTAATGTGTACACATCTTCAACTATAGTTTAAGTGGATGACATATTTTTCACTATATTTTATGTAGGTGACTTTCAGTTTGGGGGTATTCTACTTACATAATCTATTCAGCTGGATATTAACTGAGAACAAATAGAAACTAATGAACTCTGAAAAACATAAAACATGAGCAACATGATGTCACCACAAAAGACAAATCAGCACATAGCCTTCTTGTGACTGTATTTTGCCCTGGAACTAATAATCAGCCTGAACTCAGCAGTGCTCTGTTCCCTTGGGAGACACACCCACTCACCCACCCTTGGGACACACACACACACACACGAGTTTGTGGTTATGCCGCGAGTGTGAGGAAGGGATCAGATGGGTCGCACAGAAAGGTGCTGCGTCAAGGGGAGGAGGGGGCAGCCAGGAGCGAGTGCACGCTCTGGACTGGTGTACCCGCCGAAACGGGTGCGCGCGGGTGCGCCGGGTTGAGGCGTGAGGGTTGTGGGGTGAGGAGTGAGGGGTGACAGGGACAGTGGCAGGGTGGGGGCAGCCCTTTCCCAGGTGGTAGCTGGGGCCGTGGTGCTGTTGCCCTTTTAATCTGCGGCTTGACAGGAGCCTTGCCTCCTGTCTGTGGAGTCAGTTACAAATGGAGCAGCCCCCCAGGCCGCCACACAGCTCCCGCCAAGGCCTCCGTGCCCCTTGCCATTTTCCAGCCGGCTCCCACCAGGGTCCAGGCGGCGGGGAGAGGCCGAGTCGCTAGAGCTCGGCCGGGCGGTCCTGCCAGGTGGTCTGGGCCATGACCACAGCTCCGGAGGAGGGCTCCCCTTCTGCGCCCCTCCCCGCGGAGATGAGGGGAAGATGTCCGTGTCAGGGTTCAAGGCCAAACTGAGGTTGCTGGCGTCTATCTTCCACAAGAACCAGGAGCCCAGCCGCCGCTCA